TAGCAGGCATGACAAACAAGCATGAATGAGTAGGCACATCAGGGCTCAAATAACTCCTACTCATGCTAGTGGGTTTCATATATTTACTTTGGCAATGACAGGTCATGCAGAGGAAAGGGGTTCAACTACCGCAGCATGTAACAGTTGAATCGTTGTTGTCCTAATGTAGTAAAAGAGAGCAGGAGCGAGAGAGTGGGATTGTATCGGAATGAACAAGGGGGTTTTGCTTGGCTGGCACTTCTGAAGATAATATAGTTCTTCATCGGTGTCATCGAACTCATCGTCGGAACCATGTCTATCGAGAGGGAACAAATACCGGCAACAGAGAAGGAACACAATCAATGCAATGCAACAATATGATGCATGAATGTGACATGGTAATATGCTATGATTTGAGCTAATGTAGCTAGCAACAAGTTAAACGGAGTTGGTTTGAACCCAAGGTTCAAATCCAAACTCCATATGTGAAATTCAAATGCCATTTATATGATTTGTCCTAAAAAGCAGCCATAAATTGTTCTAACATGCAAGAAAATGCCATAAACAGATTCTTTGGATTTTTCTGATCATTTTTCATATATAAATTATTTCATTTGGAGTTACGGTTGAATTTCTATGAATTTTAGAAGTTTTGGACATTTTTGGGAATTTCTGAATTATTTTAAATCCATAAAATGGTTAACTGCGTTAGCATTGCGTCACTGTGACATCAGCAGTCAACTGACCGTGCCAGGTCAAACCTGACATGTGGGTCCCGCACGTCAGTGTCTCAAGGCTGGTTTGGGTGGATGGCAGGTGGGACCGGCCAGCGCTGACTTGGTCAAAGTCAAAGCTGACACGTGGGGTCCGCAAGATTAGCACTAATCTAACCAAGAATTAAACTAACCTAAACAGGCACAAGGGCCCACATGGCAGTGGCACTGGGGGTTAATTAGGGCGTCATCAGCCACTAATGACTGTGCCACGTCAAATGCACCGGCGGTTAGCCGTTGGCGACCAAATAGAGCGGCGGAGGCGCTCGGGATTCGCCGTCCGGCAACCGTTTGACTCGCAGTTTGCGGCTATGGGTTGCTGGCGCACGCGCGCATCCAGCGGTGGCCACGGGAGGGAGCGAGGTGGACCGTAGCGGCGATGGCGTCGAGCTGGGCGGCCGGAGTTTGGACAACGGCGGGGATGGCGCTACAAGGCATGGCAGGGCCAACCTGTGGGTTCTGCGGGTTCACAGGAACTCGGCGAGCACGTTGGTGATGCTGGGGCGAGCGGGCGAGCTCAGGAGCATGGAGCTCGTCGGCCATGGCGGCGGCGAGCTTCTGCGGAGGTGGTGAACGGAGCTAGAGTATGAGCGCAAGCAGGAGAGGAGGGAGGATCGGTCCGTGAGCTCACAGCAGTTGCAGCACGCGTCTTAGTGGGCTCGGGGGAGATCGGAGCTGAGCAGGGCGGCGAGGTCGATCTCGGCGATCCAAGGAGGGAGAAGAGGTCGGGGACGACGCGTCGGGGCTCTTCCGGTCGCGTGAGCCAATGGAGAGGACGAGGGCGGCACGGCGGAGCTCGGGGGCGCGTCAGAGAAGTGAGTGGAGGCCGGTGGCCGTGGTGGTGCTCGTCGGTGACGGCGGGTGTGTTCGATGGTGCCGCGCGGAGAGTAGAGGAGGGGAAGAGGCGGAGGGTCGAGGGGGTCCAGGGTGCTGCGTGGCGTCGTCTAGAGCCATGCAGAGCGAGCAGGCAGGCTGGAGGTGGCATGCGGTGGCCGTGCGCGCGTCGGGCACGCGCTGTGCGTCCGACTGGCGGGAGGAAGAAGACCTCCCTGCCCCTGGTGGGCTGGGCCGGCCAGATGGGCTGCCAGGTGAGCGCCAGGTAAGTGCGGGTAGGTTTTCTATCCTTTCTCTTTTGTTTCAGTTTTCTATTTATTCGCTCTCTGTTTTGATTTAGTTTAGAACTAAATTATTTTATTAAATTCTGAACATAAATATGGGCACTAGCTGAATTAATCCAGAGGCTCTCAAGTGATTTCAGAATATTTGGAGCATTTAAAATATTTATAAAATTCAAATGCCCCAATTCAAATATAATATGGGTTAATTCAAAATGCATAAATGGCCAACAATTATGCTCATGATTTTTGGCAGAGGTTTTCACTTTATCAAAAATCATGAACATTTTTAAAGGGCATTTTGGGTTCTTGAAAAAGATTTTATTTCATCCTATTGAATTCTTTCTGGTGCTAGGGTTTAATCAATCCCCATTTCAAGTTTCTTTCAAATTTAAACATGATGCACATATGGAGCTAGTCTAGTGCAAAACCAGAAGTTAGGGATGTGACACTAGTGGCCGCTACTGCCGCAGTAGTTATAGTTGCCAGCACGCTTGGGCCCGCCCTTGTCGCTGCCCAGGCGAGCGACGTTCTTGCCGCGGTCGCCCTGGCCCTTTCCGCGCGGCTTCTTGCCGCCGTTTGCGCCACCGCTCGAGGAGCCACCCTGATCACCACGCCCGAGGTGCTCGTTCCACTCCTCCAGAGTGAATAGGAGCTTGCTGACGCCCTCTTCTTCAGCGTCTAGCTCGTACCGTTCCGGCCGCCTTCAAATGGCCGATGATCTCCTCGATCGAGGTTGTGTCCATATCGACCACGTTGTCGATGGAGATCGTGAGCTCCGAGTAGCCCTTGGGGACGATCTGAAGCCACTTCTGGATCACCCGCTTGTCATTGATCGTGTCTCCGAGCTCTTTGACCCGCGCGCACAGCCCTATCAGGCGCATCGCCGGATCATCAATGGACTCACCAGGCTTGTGACGGAGTTGATCGAATTCGCCGCGAAGTGTCTGCGCCTTGGCGTCACAGACGCGCTCGGAGCCCGCGCGCATAGCGCGGATCGCCTCCCACAGCTGTTGGGAGGTCTTGTGTTTCGACAACATGGGCAGCATCTCCGGCGGCACCGATCGGAGGATGAACTCCGTCGCGCCCCGGTCGTTGTGGTATCCAAACTCGTCGTCGAGGTCTTCAGCTCCCTCGATCTCGTGCCACATGCCTCTCGCTTGCATCGCAACCTCCATGAGGAGGCTCCACTCCGCGTATTTCGTCCGGGTCAACGGCGGCACGTTGGAGGGACCGGACACGACCCGCGCGTACTGCCTCGCCACCGCCAGCTCGCGCCCATGGCCGGCTGCGGACTTTGGCGCGCCCTGTCCGCCATCGTCGTCGACGTTCCCTGCCTTCTGCTTGCCGTCGTCACCTGTCAGGGACCTAACAAAACGGCTCCGATGCCACTTGTTAGACCTAGCGGTGGAGCTCATGAGAGGGACAATGGAGTTTTCGTGCCACGTTCAACCTCGCAGCTTTTCTGCTAAATTGCTCCTTATTCAGCGATTACAGGAAAACTAACTGAAAACAAAAAGCTAGACACGTCCGGGTCGTGAGCACCGCCATCCCAGCTCTCCCTGCATGTCGCCCGTGATGCGGCCGTGACCATCTACTTCGTGCCATCCCACAATCAGCTCAGGGCCGCGGAAACACCTAACAAACTACGGCCGAGTCGCAGCTCAGCTTATTTCTGCTAACTGAAGGAAAACATTCTACTGACAAAACTGATGGAAAGAAAGCAAACACATAAACCTGACGAAACTGAAACTTGCTTCAGAAGCTGTTAACTGACAGATTTGTTTCCAAAAGAAGAGTAAATTTGTGCTCTCTCGAAACGTACTGCCTAACCATTGATTTTTTGGAATAGGCCTAACCATTGATTGCCGACAGATTTTGCCCCAGATGCTCAAGGCCTAACTATTGCTTCGTGTGTTCTTTGTACTGCCATGATGTTTGATGAATAGATCAAAAAAATTCCATAATAAAAAAAAATGTCTTTAGCAGGTAAGCAATCACATGTGTTGCTAGAATTCTGAGGAGGATCTTGGATCAGAGCTTTTTGCACAAGTGGAGAGTTCTTTGTTGTCACTGTCGAAGAAACTAGTTTTACAACATATCGGAGCATGCCGGAATATGGAGCAGGGGTAGAACAAATACTCGGTCCGTCCCAAAATAATAAAGTGTTCTCAACTTTGGTGTTTGGCCTGTGTAACTCACCTATAACCCGAGGTCTTTACAATGGATGGATGCGCCGTATGGACAGCTATGGTAGGGGCAAACCTATTTTTAACAGAATGAGAATACGGGCAACATGCTTGCAAAGGTTTAACAGGAGCGACAAAGGACATGAATAGCAGGAAGTAACCTGTCAATAACACTACAAGCATACCATAATTGCCCGTACCCGCAAAAAAAAAAAAAAATTGCCCGAAATGCACATCAGCACATGTTATTTATATATTACCAGGCAGACTAACCAATACTTTCCAGGGGCGCCTCATCTTATATGACGTCCCATAGAGACTAAATTTTGCGACCTTTCAGCTTGTAATTTTCGGAAACAATCAGTACAAAATTGTCAAGAAAATGAATTGTAACACGAATAAATAATACAAACAACTGAAACAAATACAGAATGCACCGCTTGCCAGGAAATAAATGGGCTTACGAGGGAACAATAAGCCCTTTTTGCTGTGGAGAAACTATGGAGTTGTAAATACGAGCTTGCTCACAGATATATGATTAGATGTGAAAAATTAGATGGCAAGAATGCATAGGTAATAATTTAATAACTTATCAATTTTACTGAACAAGCAAGTATGCAAGCTATCCTTTTTCCAAATTGTTTAGAATATTGGTATTCAAATTGTTAACCAAACTGATTTTAAGAGAAAGTAAGCATCATATGAGATAAAAAGAAAGCACGTTGCTTTCTTGCTTGTTTCTTTTTACATCGTAACCAGGGATAAAAACATAGAAACAGAGTTGCTCCCAATGAGACTAGCTGCTAACACAACCACAACAGTCGCCACATCATAAAGCAATATAAACATCAAAACGTGCGCGAGCTGCCCAGAAACAGCCTGGTTACTAATGGGACATCTTCATCTTCAAAGCATCTACATGACAGCAACGTTTTCGGATGGAATCAACTTCGAAGCTTTCCAGCCAACTGCCTCTTCATCAACGATAACCTTGATCTTGAAGGTTTTTTTTCACGTTCGTCTGCGCTATCTTCGCTATCTGAAACAATCTCCATCAGCTTTACATTTTGTTTGGTGGAACAATTGCTTTGGCTGACACTTTTGTGTGATTGAACAAGGCCTGGTTCAATGACCTGACATTCGTCTGCACTATCTTCACTGTCTGAAACAACATTTTTCATAGATGTTGCATTCTGTTTGACGGGACGATCGCTTTGGCTGAAACTTTTCTGTGAATCAACAAAGCCCAGGTCCCTGGTTCGGCTTATGGCAACTGGACCTGACAATGGCAGTTCACTAGGCTTCCTATCATCCTGTGAACAATTAGATGGCTTATATCCCTTGTCACTTGTCCTGTCCATCTCAGGCAGCTCAGATTTCAGTGACAGCCTCTTACTTAGTAAGCTCAGCTTCTTTCGACCTTGATTGTATTCTTTATGTATTACCGACTGGGTTTTAGAAAGTACATGCTCAGTATGAGAATTGTCTTGAACCAGATCAGCACATCCAATAGAAATTTCCTTTGAAACATCTGAGGACTTTTTCTGCAGATTATTAAAACCTGGCAGTGAAGAAAGATGATCTGGAGCCATATATTCATTCTGATCATTGCTCTTGCTTTCAGGCTTTAGCAATTTCAGTTGCATCGTCTGACCAAGTGACCCAACAGTCGTTCTATTGCCTTCTGATGATTTATGCACATTACCTGATGATTCACCAATGCTTTTTGTCATACTCTTCACTAAGACATCACCAGAAGATTGCGTGACATGATCTTTAGTATCGGATGCTGACACTGGAAGATGATTGGGGAACTTACCTTCCACACTGTCACTGGTCCTTTGGTTTGGAGCCTCTAATGTAACAGAAGGTCTCTGTCCATGTAACTGGAAGTTTGCTCTATTTACTTGGTATTGTTTCTTTGAAATTACTCCACTATCAGCACTGGCAGAAATACTTTCGGAAGTAGGATTCTGTCTGACAGAAACATGAGACAAGCATGTAGTAGGAAGAGTGGATACTGCCGTGGATAGTAAGTGGCCTGCCACCACATCCTGCTTAAGAGTGCTGGCATTCTCTTCAGATCCTTCTGATTTTAGTGATAACTTTTTACCCAGTAACCGCATCTTCTTTCGACTCCCTCCACAATCTTTGTTAGGAACTTCCAGCAAAGGTTCCAGGTTCTGTGAGTTCTCCATTTTCATGGTCTGTGCCTATCAGTATACACAGTAAGCTCACGACAAGAACGCAACAAAGTGGAGATTAAAATTTCAGGCGCTTGTGTACCTGAACTGAAGCATCTAAAGAGCTCCAACCACTTGTGCCAACTACTGCCGGATTAGCATACTTCTGAGTCCAAGATTGAGCATTTATGTCAAAAACTTGTCTGTTGTATTTGTACTCTTGACTCTGTAACAAAAATAACAGCATGGTTGAATTACGAAGACATTTTTTGTCATGATATGATCATTGATCTGCCTACGATTGTGAAACAAATGCATTTCCATTTCCTTCCAAAAACAAGTACTTACTATTTCCGCCATGAGCCCGTCATCAGGATTTGGCTCAGTTAGCAGCAAACCAATGCTTCTCAAAACAGTAGAAATGTTGAGTGATGGTTGCCAGGCACCCTGCACATCAGTATTCGTTATCCATACACAAAATTGTTGGGATTGAGGACTACCTTTATGCACAAGATAATTCATGTAATCATAAATTAGTTTCAGTTCACATAATTAACCTTTGGAGGTAAATTTAGAATGTCAAGGCAAATGCGTCCTCCATTGTCGATGTTGGGGTGATAGATGGGAGTAACAAAAGTCACATTGGGAGGTTGAAAAGGATATCTGCATTTCAGCAAGCGTGACTGTCAGAACATTCAAATCAAAAAGGGAAGGGGTGGTTGGCTTCCATCATAATCAAAACAAACCTCTCAGGAATCTGGATCTTCAGAATGAAAACTCCTTTTGAATAAACTGTTCCCCCAGGGCCCTCAATTCCTTCATTTAATGAGTAGAAAAGTCACATCAAATCGACAAGAAAATAGTTGGAATGGCAAATATAGGCACTGTTTGGGATGACTGTGTGTGTGTGTATGGGTGGGTGGGGGGTACATACTGGTCTCAATGCTCGATAAAGACGGCAAGGAACTTTCCTCATCAGACAGATTAAGAGAAACTCCAGGAGGTGGATCGCTGAGCAGAAGTTTAATCTCTTTCTGCATTCTTAGACTCAGCCTTGCAGCTTGAGCCATCTAGTTATTTATGGGAAACTCTAGCCTGCACAAAAGGAAGATTGCCTTTAAATATCAGCATATCTTTGGAACATTTAGCCCAAGCAAATAAGGTAAGAGAAAAACCAAAGCACACATTATTTTGCACAATACTCGCAAGTAATACTACCATATAATGCAATCTCACATGTCCCTTTTTCCAAGAGAACCAGGTTAGCATGGTCTTACTTCAAAAAATATAGCATCATATAAATTTACAAAGCATTGTGATTATGGTAGTGGTTGTCAATTTTGTGCCAGATAAGATCAAATCATTATCACTATAATAGATAAAAATAAACCAATTTGCAGGAATTATGTAGAGGATGCAGAGGAGCTATATTCCATTCATCACGAGGGGAAATTTGCAAACACCAGTCCAAGGTGGACACATGTTAAACACCGATTAAGCTTCTTCAACCGGGCGTTATAACCGGGTTGGTATATTCCAAAAAAAACCGAGTAAACCGGCGTTAGCATCACCAAAAAACACCGAGAAGCCACATTTTGCTATATTCCATTATCATTATCACCAACATAGACCAACACATACAACCATCAACCGACAATACAACCGGGTGGTGCTCATGCGCAAACTGTTTGCATGCTAACTAAGCAAAATGTGGCTGAAGAATTTTTGGAAGATTTGAGATTACCTTAATAATTTGGCTACTGGAGAATGCTCGTTTTCTTCAAATCTCGAGTTCAGTAAGACTAGTGAGTTGGATGCAAAATAAGCAGCTATGTAAACCTAGAGTGCAGGAGCTATGTAACAGGCTGTTTCAACAGTCACATTTGCCATGGATACAACACTAAATAAATAGGTTGGGTGTTAAACAATATCATTATCATGGAACAATCATGCCATCAAAACTAGGATCTGATCTTCCTTGTAGTTTTGCCAGATATACAGGAGGCTTGTTACATGATTATATGCATCATGGTCATGTATTAACATGTGGTAGCGAGCACATAATGCATCCCATCCGGAATGGCATTGGGGGGAAGGGGAAGCAGCGAGGTACCCACCTTGCAGCTTGCGCGCGAGCAGGGCAGGGAGAGCTCCTCCCGCCGTAGATGTGTCGGAGGCGGTGCGCCCGCGGCCCCCGGGCGTGGCGGCGGCGGCGGCCGGTTCCCGTTCGATGATGTGGGGCCGGGTTGCCCCGTAGGCGGCCTTCGGCGGGAGTAGTTGGGGAAGGGAAGGGAAGGGGTGCGCTTGGCCGTAGATCTGGAGCAGCGCCGCCGCCGTCGGGAAGCAGTGCGGAGATAGGCGGGAGTGGTGGCCTGGTGGGTGATTGTGGCTTGAAGGAGGAGGATGGCGGAAGCAAATTCACCAAAGACGAGGGACCTCTTTGCATACAAGCATTCCCCTCATTTGCGTGTACTACGGATCCCAGCACTGCGATCTGTGCCATTCATCATCAATCCAACGGTCCAACTTCGCGTTTTCTATTTCTCCATCTTCAGTCCAATCCAGTAGCCACCGGCCGGCCGATGGCGACGACGGCTGCGGCGTACGGCTGCTCGGCGGCGGCGGCGCTGCCGTTCCCGGGGAGCCCCTTCACCCGTAGCTCACCCCCGTCACGAGTTCACGTCGCCTCCTCCAATCCCATGCCCGGGACGCCCGCTCCCAGGTACTAGCTTGCTTCTTGCCCTTGTCGGATTCAGCTCCCCCAACGACGCCTGAGCTAATAAGGTTGGTTGTGTGCTCTCCTTGCAGGAGCCTGAGGGTTTCATGTCGTCGTA